CTGCCGCCTGCCTCGCAAGCACAAGATCCCAAGTTCAATCCCTGGTACAAAAAAAAAGAAATAAGATAACGATGTGAGAATTAACCAATAAAAAAGAAAAAAAAAAAAAGAACCCATTCAGAAATTAAAACTATATCACAAAGTCCTCAAAGAATAGAAGTAGCTGAAGATGTAATAAAGAACATTAAAAATAGGAATTAAAGGCAAGTAATGACCCCAAAAATGAAATTAAAGTTTAAAAGCATGCTAGCTAAGGAAGACAGACCTAAAACATATCTTCAACACATAGAGAATTTGAGCTCCTGCAGCAGAAAAACAAAACAATGAAGCAATTGCTATTTTAAGCTATAATATTAAAAAACTTTCTGGAAATAAAAGAAAACTTTTATCTACATATTGAATAAACACACTGTATACCTGGAAATGTGATCTAGAATAGTCAATTTTGAGATACAGGATAGAAAAATTATTAGCCTTCAATGGAAAAACTTTAGGTATATTTTGGCCCTAAAGACAAAAACAAATCACATTCAAAGTAACAAAACTAGGTTGGCACCAAATTCTTGATGATGACAAAATTTATTGGGCCTATGTAAGACTAAGCATATTCAATTCTCCAATAGTTAAAAAAATGCTATCTCATCAGACATGATCACAAAAGGAGTCCCAAGCCTACTGGACTCTTAATCTAATCTTGTGAGAGATGCGACTTCACAGCAATGAAACAAAGGGCTGATGAGCTTTTCTCCACGTGGTTTTGGCTAGCAATGTTCACCACTCTACTCCCTGTTATGAGACACTGACCTGAATAAAAGTTTTCATGATCTCAGGAGCTTAGGAAATGCTGGTTGATGGATCCCTCTTCTACAAAACTAATAATCTTGGTTGGGAACATGAAGCAAGATGCAAATTACAGTTCATAGGACAAGGACAATGATTAATACAGGCACTTTAGCAAAGTATTAAACTCTTTAATAGCTCTGGAGTCACAAATCCCAACTCTGACAGGCATTAGCTTTGTGACCTCATAAATTATATAACTTCTTAGTTTCAAGCTTCTCTTTTATCAAATGTATTTTTTCATATCTTTCAGACTAATAATTATATGAATGTGTGTATACATGGATGTATATACAGTATATGAATTAACTAAGGGCTCCCAACTGTTTACAAATAGCAAACAATTTTATTTAGTTTGGAGAAGAATGATATTAGTGAGTTAACATCTATATGTCAATATAATATATTATTCACTATCTTTTTCGAGAAATCTTTGTAAATTACTTTTCAGGCAATTGCTTCATTCTCTAGTTTATTTTCTTTCGACTGGATTTCTTCTTTAAATCTATTGACTCATAGTAATAACCTTATAAGAGGATACTTGTTCATAGAATTTGTAGTAAATTCTGGATAAGATAAGTAACTTTGTGGGAGAATACATACAAAAGATTTACCAATTATGAGGAATATTTCATACAGTATAATCTGATAAAGGAAGTTTAGAGTTAACACTTAAGAGAGGTGAGAATTATATTGAGTAGTCATAATTAACAGCTTCATTTGCCCAAGGAGTTTGATGTTAGCTCTGATGGAGGTGAGAATTGAATTCTGAAATTTAAGAATAAACTGACTGTGTGAAAGAAGACCAGGAGGATTTGCTAAAAGTGCTTTCAAAGAAGCCAAAGGCTCATTCACCAGCCTTTCAGCAAAGAAATGTCACTGGAGAATCTAAATACGAATTACCTGTAGAAATAAATTTCATTTTTTCTTAAAATGCAGCAAAGTCTCACAAAGAAACAAGATTTTTAAATTATAGATATAATCTTTTCAAAGATTCTATAGAATTATAAAAGATTATGGCAGAAGTATAGTAATGATACAAAATTACACTGACAGAAAGATCCAGGAAAACTAAGTCATGTGGGGAAAAATAGAAAAGATGGTTGCTAATGACAAGATGCCTTCCTCAACGTATCCACAACTCTCTTTAAGGCTTACTTTTAATACAGGTATATATTATGAAGAGTTTTTCTTGAAACTTTCTTTGCTCTTTTATCTTGTTTGTCACCTTGAGATCTCTTTGATTTACTTTGCCTACTATTATATGGGTCCCACTGAATATTTTCTTGACCCAGTGACAACTACTTAATAGATCCTCCTTTAGAATTTATAAAATGCTATAACATAAATTTATCATTTCATCTAATAAACTGCAAGGCATACTTCTCTAGCCCCAACATCATCTGAGTAACTTCAACATACAAATTTATAATCTAGACATTACCAGTCTTATAATTCCCCAAACTTCTTTATACAGTCAAAAGTCATCTTCATCCTTGAACAATCTACTCATTTAAAAATCCCTTTATAACACATTGCTAATTTGAACTCCATTCTAATTCTACACAAAACCTGTTTCCTAACCTTGTGAAAATCTAGCTTAACTATATCATATGTAGTTTATCAGCTTTCCCCAGCCTCAAAAGGATCTTCAATGTTACATGACATCCCATTAGGTAAGCCTTCCATTCCCTTGGCTCCTCAATTTCTTCTAAAATGTAGGTTTTAATAAACAAACAAAAATCAAATAAATAAAGGTTTTCACGAGCCAGGTAAAATTTAAAAATTAATTTTAATTAATTTTAATTAAATAATGTAAAAATTATATTTAACGATTCACTTAACAACATAATGAGCTAAGTAAAATACTACCCAAAGCAAATAAGTAATTTTCCTAAAATATATATGGTATTAGAAAATTTCAGAAAATAGATATATAGTACATTTTTTCCCCTTAGTGTAAGCTATATTGCTATACCAGTATGTCTTTTAAGGTGGTAATTTTTGTCTGAGTATAGCATTACAGCATGCCTGAGGTTTATATACTCTCTATATGTGTGGTAGTTCAATGCTTACAACAATGTTCAGAGCCTACTGGGAATTGGTCTTCATATCTGATAGAATTCAGAATTACTGAAGACTTTATTTCAATTTTTTTTTCTATTTTCTCACCAATAACTAGTCATACCCCATCTTATTACATTATAATAAAATCCTGCCTGAAAAACTTTAGAACACTTAAGTTCCCTTTCTGCAAGTTAGTGTAAAATTGATTCTTCATTAATGCAACTTACTAACAACCTTAGTTTCCACGACAGCTCAAAATTATTTAAAAGCCTAAATTGACTCTACAATGAATATACAATGTGTGAAGTCTACTCACAACATAAAAAGCATTCCTCAAAACAAAGTGTTCAGTTAAGAAGAAATAGACATTCTGCACTGTCCTTAAACATGAAGGAAAAGAAATATATAACAAAAATTCTTCTGAAAGAAATGTCCAGGCACAGATGATTTCACTGGAGAATTCTACCAAACAATCAAAGAAGAATTAATATTAATTTCACATAATCTCTTTAAAAATATAAAGATAGGAGAATATTCTCTAGTTCATTTTATCAGGTCTGTATTATCCTGAAACCAAAACTAGAAAACAAAAATAAAAAATGAAAACTACAGATCTATATTTGTGAACTTAGATACAAAATTCTTCAAACAAATACTAACAAGTAAATTCAGGAAAACAAATATCCAATTAGAAATGAGCAAAAGACATAAACATATTTCATCAAAGAGGTGATAAATAAGCATATGAAAACTTATTTAACAAGATTAATAAGCATATGAAAAGAGCTTCAGCACCATTAGCCATTAAGAGAATGTTCTTAAGAGTTTTATTTGTATAGGTTGGGTATCTTTTCTCCAAAATGCCTGCTTTGGAGTTAGAAATGTTTTGGATTTCAAACTTCTTCCAGATTTTGGAATATTTGGGGGGGGGGTAGAGATAGATCTTGGAGCTAGGACTCAAATCTAAATATGAAATTCATTTATTTCATATACCTCTTACGCATACATCTTGACAGTAATTGCAAACAATATTTTTGGTGCACCTGCATTTTGGCTATGACCTGGCACATGAGGTCAAATGTGGGATTTTCTACTGTAGCATCATGTCAGTGCTCAGCGTTTAAGGTTTTAGAACATGGATTTCAGATTTTCAGATTAGAGATGATCAACCTATAATATTACAAGTTGTTATATCAACCTATAACAGAAATACCACAAATATTCTTTAACAGGTGGATGGTTAAATAAACTGCAGAACATCCATACCACAGAATACTGGTCATAAAAAGTATGAATTGTTGATAAATGCAAAAACTTTTATGGATTTTGAGAGAATCACGGAAAGTAATAAACAAAACCCAAAATGTCACACATTGTACGAATCCATTTTTATGACATTCTTGCAAAAACAGAATTATAGAAATGGAAAACAGGTTGGTAATGGAATTAGAAGTATGCCCCTGATACAATTGTCTTGTATCTTTACTTCATAATGGGACATCTGCTCCTGATACTGACCATGGACTAGAAGAAACTAGGGAAAAGATACATAGGATTTCTCTGTATATTTTCTTGCAATTATCTCAAGCTAAAAAGTTTAACTGAGAAAGGATTTGTTACATGTATATTTTTACTTGACAAAAATTTTCATTAGTTTCTTCATCCTGACAAATATTTGATTCATTTCAGATTGTGTACTTCTATAGCTTTGGAAGATGTTTCTAGTCACTGAGAGCATCAAAAAGTAAATAGTAAAAGCAAGACTTCTCTATTAAACTGTTAAAATAGAGTATATTTAAGGCAGTCACTTCATTGACCATAGATAGGTGATCTACAAGGCAACAGAGAGGACATATAGATGACACTTTCAATGAAGATGTATGGAATAGGTCAGTATTTTACATGTCCACAATACAGATTAACCTACTGGTTATTTTTTAAAATGTACTGATTTGGGGCCTACTCTTAAATACACACAGTAATATTTTACAACAATAAACAACTATTTAATTCTTTGACATATTTATCTTAGAATAGATATAAATGTACAAGCCTAGCAGTTTTTCTAAAAAAATTTTAAACACCTACATTACCTGCAAACAGAACACTGCCGCTGAGGCTGAAGAGCAGTGAACATAACGATCATGGAATAGTTTCGAGGCGGTGCCTTTATAAATTTTCGGAACTTATCACCATTCATTCGGAAGATTGAGCGCCTGGAACTCCATTCCATCAACTGTTCTACTTTTTCAGCCAAAAGATTCTGCAATTAAAAACAGGAATTTATAATTTACACAAGGTTAAATGTTTTTTAGTTTGGATTTCATACGAACAGAATTACACTGAGGATGTAATTTATCCCAAATTACTTTCTACTAAAAGTTCTTATTTTGGTGAACATATTCATTATTAATTAACCAAAAGTGTATGAAATATTTAATTTTATTTTTCCTAATAATTTGAAAGTCTATTAAAATGCTAAAAGTAAAATAATCATATTTCTACTTTCAGAAGACGGAAAAGACATTTTCCTAATCTTCCCACTAAATATGGTTAAAACTTCTGTTATATAAATAAACAAAAAACATAAGAAGTCTCTGAAAGGTGCAGAGAAGGCAGACTGGGTAGGGGGGGACCTCAGGAGCTGAAGAATGACATAGTGCTCTGTTCCTTAGGATTCTTTTGGCCTCATATCTCCCAGACTGGTGGCTGAAGTGGGCAATGCAAGAAAGCCAATGGGTGCCCTCAAAAAAGTATAAGTCTCTGCTCTCCCTACCCAAAAGACAAAGAAAAAACGGTAACAGTAAAATAAGACAGAAACTGCTCTACTTCATCCACATACCACAGAAAAACAACAAGCTGTGATCTCATTAGCACCCTCACTAGCCAAAGTTGAATGGGGAGCCTCCACTAGACTGCAAATTTCTCTGTTAAGTATTTGTATGCAAGGACAGAGAAATCTCACAAATATAAAACTTAACTTGCACAAAAGACTGTTGTATGATATTTTTGTTGAAGTCAAAACAAAAAAGTTTGCCGTGATAAAAGTCAGGATAGTGACTTGAAGAACAAGAAGGGGGACAGTGGGGAGGATAGTGACTTAAAGACAACACAAGTGGAGTGAATGGTCTTATAAAGAATTGACACGGGGAGGAGGTAGCACTGTAGCTTCCATATAGAAGGCGCTTATCTTCAGAACATTCATTCTATCTAAGAAGTTCTGAGAAGAAAGAACTCTATAGAGTCTGCCCTTACAAAACACCAAACAAGTATCAGTGGTCAGGACACAGGCTTCAGTTTTATTATTCATGCAAATTCTAATCTACAATTTCAGAAGAGAAGTAATCTCTCTCACCTTCTCTCTCAAGTGGAAAATTGACAGTGATTTCCCCTTGAATCATTCGGAAACTGTCATGTATACAACAAGAATAGAGAATGAAAACAAACATCTTACCCTGCTCTTAGGGAAAAAGACCTGGTGAAGTGTTGTGCACCCACCTATGCAGGGAAAAATACAAATCAAAAATAATAGAAGGGAGGAAAGAAGGAACAGTAACCCAAGCAAAGAGCAGAATATTTGAATTAATAATCTGGCAAAGAGGGATATTAGATAAACATACAATGGCATGCTAAGCATGGCTAATTACTGGAATCATTGTTAGTTTTTAAAAAAACACTACTATAACAAAAATCCAAGGAATAAAATTAATTCTAATTACAAAATAATTACTTAGATTTAGTTATATATATATAAAACTGTTACAACTTTAATTCTGTCTGTAATTATACTATGAATGTATTTACATATGTAAAATAATTTTATTAAAAAGTAAAATAAAATATATCATGGAACACATTAGTTTATATCATCAGTATACCCAAACATTTGAAAACTTCATAGAAGGCCTCTTATTAATTGTTTTTATTTTAATTCTGAGAAGCAAAATGAAGGGATTTTCTATGTTAAATATAATTTACTAGTGTCTGCTTTCCAGAAAACTTTTATAGTTAAGAGGATTTACATGGAAGTTTTCAATTCTTTGCATAAAACTCAGCAAGCCAATATAATATCTAGAAATTATTTTGATCCTTGAAAAAATTTAAAATGCATATTATGTATGATTAAAATATTTCTATTTTAAATATGTAGGAAATGTGACTCTCTCTGCAAACCCAGAATCTCCAGGTAAGAAATCAAGCAGGTAGTCAACTAATGAGGGCAGAAGGATAGCAGTGTTAGATACAGTTACTTATCTATGCACTCCTAAGAGTATTTTAGGAATAGTATTTTAGTGTAATTTTCTCATTAAACACACATATACACACTATGAATTTTTACAATAATACTCTTTTTATTTTTTTTTGGAAAATCATGTGATTACACCAAGATGTATCTAAGAAAACATAAAATAAGTACAGGGCTGAAGATTTACTCACAAGCTACCAAAGAAGCCAACCATAATTTCAAGGAGGCTAGAAGAAATGAGAATCCCAAATCTCTCAGAGGTATTTCTTACCACAATTAGCCTGAGCTATATTTTGTCTCTCACATCCCAGAGGTGTGGTGTAGAATAGCAATGAGATTTCCTCACAGCTAAGGAACCCAATGATCTCAAGAAACTCCAATCTTTAAAGGCACAAATAGCAAACATATTCAAACTCTCTCTTGGAGGTAAAAAATTATCTTTATTTTCCCAGACAGGAAACACATCTGCCCTCTGACAGGAAGGAGATATTATCTCTATCTTGTAAGGTTTTGTATAACAACATCCTTGAAAAAAATGTTAATTCTTGTGCTCAGAAGATGTTCAGATGCATGAGAGAATCATGGAGCATTGTCTCCCAAAGTATCAATCAGTACATAATTTAAAACACATAATTTAAAGACCTATTTTAAAAAAGAGCGAAATCAAACACTAAGCATAGATTGTTCATTGATTATTTTTATATTTTTTGAAGGCTTTAAGAATTCAAAGGTAAGATGCAATAACTAACTGCTACAAAAAATTACACCTAGTTTAACCAACACACCCTGTTAAATTAAGGAAGGTAATAAAGAAGGATTGATATTTCCCAAGCACTTTTGACCTTCAAAGTAATATTAAACTATTTTACTGGCTTGATCACCAGCGAAAATTTCTCATTGAGGGGAATATTTCTTTAAAAATCAAACACAACAACAATGCAGTTATTAGTTTAGCTTAACTGAATTACTTTTTATAGTACACTTTTAGTTATTACACAGATACAATATTCCTTCAGAACAGTAAAAATGTCCCATCTTTAACTATTGAGACCCTTGAAATTCACAAGCACTGTGCTACAAAGCTTGTGGTAGACAATTAGGTTTACTATCAATAATTCAAGGGCCGGGGATTTAGCTCAGTGGTTCCAGCGCCTGCCTCAAAGCACAAGGATCCGAGTTTGATCACTGGTACCAAAAAAAATAATAATAATTCAAGTAAAAATGTAACTTCTACAAAATTATACCTTAAAAAAGTAGAATTCCAATTATATACAGTTTTCTCATTACAGATAATATAGAAAATATTTTTTAAAGAAAATGCCCCATCCAGTCTGTATCATCTAACAGACTCACTACTAGTATTTTTGACTACTGTGATAATGCTGTCTAAATACACTGTATCAACATAAAATTTGAATGCTATCCACAATATATTAATGGTTTACAATGTAGGACTCATTATCTTCTTATCACATTGGGTTTTTGTTTGCACCCTTCTCTCTCTCATATGCATAAACTTCTCCCTTAATATGTGAAAATGGTATCTCATTTTTTTAATGTGTACTGTTATTTTCTGACAAAAGTAAACATTTTCACCAGGTTTCCAGGCAACATCTCTCTTCCTTGCCTTCTCTAATGATCTCATGTCCTTTGTCTTGATCTACTTAACAAACATAATTTAAATTTGTCCCATACATGAGATAAAAATATATGCAATCAAACTTTTTCCAGACTACCCAATACTAAATCTGAACCAGAATTAGATTTTTCCCACTTCTAAATTATCTTCATTTTGCTTATAGGAGGAGCAGAGGATAACAACAAATGAGAAAAATAATGTTTCACAGTACATATTTAATTATATTTTACAAATTTTTTGTTTAAAAAGTCCCAACTTACTATACGAAAAATATGTTTTTTAAAACCTAAAAAATAAAACTATGTTCTGATACCACAATGAATATAAAATAATACTGGCATTAACTGAAATGTCCTTCATAGTTTCTTCTAATATCCAATTTGATTATTCAAATAAGTTTATCTCTTAATTTGATTATTCAAACCAGACTAGACCAACAGAAAAATTTACCAAAAAATCCCCCTATAAATTTTAAGTATCAAACAGCTTTTATTATTTTGTTCCAAAACATAGCATTAAATGTGATGGAAATTGTACTGTCTCAAAACTGGTAATAAAACCATAAATACACATTTGTCCAAATCCACAGAAATATGTTACTGTACACAATTTTTAAAATAAAGATGAACCAGGATTGGAGAAATCCACAAAAATATGTTATTGTATACAATTTTTAAAATAAAGACGAACCAGGATTGGACTGGGTGTTCCCCAAGTACGTACATGTTTCAACAGGTGAGTCTAACTATATTATAAATCAATACCATAAGCATTATTTTGGAAAATAATTTGATTTGATATTCTTTAAGTTAAAGAGAAAAACTACAACACTGTCATACTCAAGTTACTTGGTTTCTTATAAAGTATGGATTTTCACATCTGTTATCATAAGAATATATTACAGTTAAACAAATTAGTAAATATATTATAAGGAGTGTCAGATTTAGTGCCAATAATAAAAGACTTACAAGAACAGAAAAAGGGGTGGTTAGGATAAACCCTGTGGTTCTGAATAAGTGAGGACAAAACATATCAATTTATGGCTTTTAAACAACATAGTTTACAAACAGTAACAGAAATAAATATGGACCTACAAGACTGAATGAACTAGTACATATTTATTTCCCAGCTGTGCACTGAGAGGGCTGAAGAACAAAGGCATATACCAACAGCAATAAACACACCCAACTCTAAGATCTTGGTTTCTTAATACCATTCTCCATTACAATGAATCAGGCTCCCTGGAGAAGTAGTTCAATGAAAGACTAAACCAGAGAAAAATAACATAAGACTAAAACTTATGGTAGTTTCTTAACAATACTAGAAAGCAAATGCGTGCTTTAAAAAGGCAAATGAAAGAGCACAAGAACCAGTGTGG